TGTCTATGAGTCTGTTTGTTCAAGAACTCCTCCTAAATGGTAGGAGTTAGGTCCACCAAATTTGGCATACAGCTTCCTCTTCTCCTGACTTAAAGCAAGGTCAGGGTTTGGTTATGCCAGGAAAACAGGATCTACCTGGAATGGGATTTTTTTCTATAAAATTGAAAGGGTGGGGGCTGTTCGGAGGGATAGAATGAGGGCTGCTGGGGAGGGGCTCATCATCTTGACAGACACCAGACCAAGAAAGAAGTCCCTTGCCCCAAACCCCTCTCCCCCAGCCCTTGGCCACAGCAGGGAGGCAGTCCTGTCAAACGGCCCCTCCCCAGAGATTTTGGCCGTAGCAAGGAGGGGAAGCCCTGACAAACAACCCCTCCCCCAGGCCATGGGAGAAGCTGCAGGGCAACATGGGCAGCCTCCCCCTGGCCTGGGGCAAGCTGGCAGGAGGAGTGAACATCCCCGCCACTCTAGACCACCCCTAAGGAGAAGCCAGAGGCCAACTCTACCTTCTGCCCTGAGCTCCCCTTCCTCACTGCCCCCCTGCCATGATTCCCGCAGCACCAACCTCTGCCTGAATCCCTTCTCACCCTCCAACCCTCACTCACACACCCCACACACATTCCCAGCCTCCTTTCCCTGAGCCCCTCTTCAACCCCTTACCCCGATACCTGCAACCTCCACACCTCCAGCCTCTGTCCTGAGTCCCCTACATCCTCAGAGCCCTGCCCTGACTCCTGAACCTCCCACATCACCAGCCCCTTGCCCTGAAGGATCCAGACAACACCAGGTAAGTCTTCTAGTCTTACCTAAAAGGCTGATATTTTATCTGCTTAAGAACTAGCACACAGTACCGTGGCAGCATGCATAAACTTCTGCAGTGTCACAATATACTGAGGTCTTGTTGTCATTATATTATGGGAACTAAAACTTCTATTGGCTGCCATTATTTCCTGTAAAAACTATGGCTACTGGATATGACTAGTGGTCACTAAATAGTACTATCTTATGTCTTGCCTGAAATATATTCCTAACGCATCTCACCAGTGTATCTGAAAAGATGTTAGTCCTTATTCGTCTCACTTGTCTGTGCAATTATATTGACAGCACCTCAGGGTCTGTGAAAGGATGAATGGGGTCATAATGAAGCCAAACTCTGCTTCATCTGTGATTGTTAAGAGTAGATGTTTTTGCATTTAAAAAGCCCCAAGCTTGTATGGCACCAAGACTTTTCTATTAGTGTCTGCAAGCTGTTCTTGGGTGTGGTCATCATAAATGAGTAAGAATTATTTGAGTTTTCTCAATTCTCATTATGGACTAAATACAGTTCAAAATTACCCTACTCTTATTGTATATACCTTCAGATGAATAAGTACTCAGTTACACTAATTTTGCACTGTTGAGAGTAAGCAAGTTCACCAGTGTGTGTCTAGATCTACACTACAGTTTGTACAGTAGTTCTCAAGTTCAATATCAGAAGAAAATAGAATGACCTTTCTAGTCTCCTCACCCAGAAAGGGGAATGTGGCCAATGTATCTTAACATATTTTAGATGTTGTGACTGATGCATATAATGCTGAGGGCTTTTTGTGGTCAGGAAATTAGCACTATTTTCTAACATAATCAAACTGAAGGATTACAAATTGCTATTCAATGAAAATCTTCTAGTTCAATTTTGCTATTTATTTTAAGTGTTGTAAATGTAATCTGAGTAAAAATTAACAATTCTCATGCTAAACAGCAAGATGAAATAAAAGTCTGTTATCCTCAGCAGATAGTAAGAGATGCTATCTGAAAATGTTCAATAAACAATAATAATAACAAAAGCCTACAAACAACAACAAAACATTCTTTCCATTTTAGAATTATGGCCTTGCAAACAGACCTATTAAATCATCTGCCTTCCAATCAAACCAGGTTTGTTTTCTAATGTAAAATCATGTTAATTTTATCCAGAATAATATTGAATGTCCCAAGCAATGATGTGTCCACTATTTTTAGAGGAAGAGGGAAAGACTATTTTAGACATGAAAAGATCTTAGGTTATGTGATTAAAAATTGAAGGGTTATATTGATTTATAGATAAAAGTTGCAGTCAGAAAGTAGACATTGGGTTTTACTTACTTAATGTGATAGGCAAAAGACATTCCACAAATTTAGTTCCAAATCCCTCAAATAAAGTATCTTGTACTCCACCCACTTAAAAGAAAAATGATAGTTTTTATAAGAAACCGTACATTTTCTCTCATGATGCCAATGTTCTGGTGAAAGCAATAACGCTGCAGGGATAAAAACAGTTAATTTGTAAAATTTGTCCATGTGAGTCACATTCAGATGGCTAAAACTTAAAAAGCCTCATTGTCAAAAATATATCCTAGTGAAGTGGCATACACCGACTTCATTAGACATCACCCACAATTCTTAAGAGCTATATACATATGATTGCAAGATTAAAATGTATAAACTAAAAACAGAATTCTTGAATAAAAATGACACACAAAGGTTTAAAAAAATCATACTTTTAAAGAGTGTCTGTGTACTGTCTGGTCATTTTTTAAAACAAAACTAGTGATTTTTAAGTATCTCAATTCTGAGATCCCTAACTTGGGTCCCTAATTTTGGGGTCCCTCAAGAGTGTGGACATATCAGAGAATGAGTTATCTGTACTTCCTGTAAAATAGTTTATAAAAGAACAAAATATGAACTAGAATGTTGGTTGGGATGCCATCTGATACATAGCTTTAAAAATAATTAGTGCCCCAAGAATAAAATGTGACTTGCACATGTACTAACATGGAGCTCAAGGAACTTGGAAAATGGAGATATTTTTTAGAAAAGTAACAAGGAAACCATCTGAAAACTATTTGGTTGAGTTTCGGTGCTTAATTTGTGCCAGTGCTTGCCAAGACTCAGGATTGGCAGTTCACAGCCCTGGCACCTCTGGGCTTGCCACATCAGATATGAAAGTAAATCATTGCTTGAGCCCCAGCACCTCTTTTGTTACAAATTAAACACAGTTGAGTTCCAAACTCTGACAAGAAAACTCCTCTAAGCTGCTACCTCTGTGCTCTTTTTCTCCTGAGTTTGTCCCCTAAAGTCAAACCAGAGCATGCCAGTTAAACTTGCCAAAAGAAAAGAAAGTGTGAAGACAAATAAATAAATGCATAGGAAATTGCACCATCAAGCCAACAGGAAATTTCAAAATGCTAAAGACAGTAGAAATGCTCAGACAACAAGAACAACAAAAGTACCATTTGGAACATCATTTCCTCCTGACCCTGATCCTGCAGACATTCTCGTATTTAGTGCATGCCTACTTATGGCTGAGGCTAACTTGAGGCCAGTGCAGCACATCAGTGAGAGCGCCTGACAGAGAAAGGAGGAGAGCAGTGGAGTTTGAGCACTCTCCGTTTTGAAATCAGCATGTTGAAGTATCTTTTAAAAAACAAGTTGGGGGCATCTGAAAGTACAGGAGAGACCAGGGGACGAGACTGGGTGTATAAATGGCTGTAAGAAAGGGAGGACTGGGCAATACAATTTGTGTACAAACTTTTTTAACTGCACCTTAATTTTCTGACAAAGCTCACCAGATCTTTAATAGCAAATATAAGTTGATCACACAGCCAACAAATCTCACAACCACCATTAATTGAGTGATTCTACTACCTCAAAAGTCACTGACTAAACTACCTTCAGACGGCAGCAGGGTCAGGCCCTATTTCTTGATTTTATGTATAATTTTTCAGCCCTGTGTGTTTAGCCTCAAGTTCTTGATTGTGTTTTTCCACTGAATAGGTTGAAGCTTCCCTCAAACATACCAGGTGGGTAAATGAGAACTCTGTGTGGTTTTAAAGCTTCTTCACCAAGCAGCTTTCCACCATCCAGCTTCACTGCTACTCACGGTGGCAGTTCTTCCTTACTATAGGACAGGATTATGGAATGAAATCATTCTCTTAGGTGTCCTCTTAGTCATAAGGTCTTGATAAATATTTATTTGCTAAAGGACCTCTCTTCCACCTGACAGCATTAACACTCTCTATATTATATATGTGTGTGATTTTAGCAGTGATGTGGAAATTGAAGTTAGTCTCAGCAACAATGAGTTAAAATGCCCCAGAAACTGTAAATATATTGTTTATTTATATCTTAATCATTATGCAACTTGACTTGAATTAAGTCCAAGAGCTACTATAAATATGGACAGAACATATATAGGATATAAACATAAGCTTTATGTACCCGTGCATCTAAATATTGTTATAAATCAATAAAACATATTAAATGGATTAGGTATAAACATACAGCATACACACATTTATAAGTGTATACATTTATAAACATAGTATTGTATATAATCGATATAAAATAACAGTATGCTGCATTCTATTGTTTCATAGTTGTACAATGTTATAGTTTTAGTACTTTAATAAGGAGTATCTTTAAAGCAGTAGGCATATTGGCAAAGTACAATAACAGATTCCTTTTGAGATATGTAAGGTTTTATTTCACCAGGTGCTCACCAGCAGTATAGTGCATCAGAAACAAGTGGTAAGCATTTATCTCTATATTTCATCAAAGGCAGAAGGTAGAATACTACAGAATGTTATACTCCCTCGAGGAGCTTTGAAGGAATAAAAATAGAAGGCACGATTTTTCGTGTGTATGCTACATGAGAATCGCTCGACCCCATCCACAACAGGGGAATCATATTTATGAATAACGGAACCTACCAGGCATCCTTTTAAAAACAGTTCTGTGCATGGAAACAGCATCGCTTTACAGCTCTCGGAGAAGCATTTTGCATGTTGCACTTTTGCGTGTGCATTAAACGAGAAAGCTCCCAGCTACCTTACTTATAAATATCTTAAGTCAGATCTGGGCACTCTAAGTCCACTTGGAGCCATATGGCAGTTTCCACCTCCTTTGCAACTAATAGCGTTAAGCAGCAGTGATGATTCATTCTTAAGAAAGACTCCACAGTAGAAGAGAAATGCCCCTCCGCTTACCTTATTCAAACACACCACGTTCAGCATAAACACAGGCTGGAGACCACAAAAGGCTCAGGGATTCCCTCTTTCTTCCAGGGGCTGTTCTCCGTTTTCCTTTGCAAGTGATCTGTTGACAACCCCGCGGAGAGAGGAGAGGTTTGTTTTGGTGGCTTCTTTCTGATGCTGATTTTTGCTCTGTTCCCGACTCCTCCGAAATCACGGTCCCCCCCGGGACGGAGGGGGCTGAGGGAGGACAAAAAAAGGGAAAGCCATCCCCCCCAAAAACAAATCAGTGCCGCGGGCGGCTAGGATTGCAGGCGGAGAAAAAAAGGAAAAGCTCCTCTCTCCCCAGCGTAATCTCCCTCCGGTTGCATGTGATGTGGTGGCTGCTGGTGGTGGTGGGTGTTGGTGTGTGTCTGCGGATGTGTGCGCTGGGTAAAGGGAACAGCAGCGGGCCGGGCGCTCGGCACAGCAAGGAGTGAGCTGTGGAGACAATCAGAGGCACACGCAGGGATACGCTGTGCGCACACACACGGACTGCACACTTGAGGAGCTCCATTCCCGTTAGCCGGGCTGTACATCCATGGACGCCCTCTCTGCTCCTAGCGAGGGGGCATGCAACCACACAGCCAGGGCAACGCGCGCGCACACAACCTTCTCCCAGCCATAACACATGGACACAGCCTCACTCCCAACACCTCGCCGGGCTGGGCACACCGGAGCAGAGCTCCCTCCTGCAACCCAGTTGAGGAGCTCCATTCCCGTTAGCCGGGCTGTACATCCATGGACGCCCTCTCTGCTCCTAGCGAGGGGGCATGCAACCACACAGCCAGGGCAACGCGCGCGCACACAACCTTCTCCCAGCCATAACACATGGACACAGCCTCACTCCCAACACCTCGCCGGGCTGGGCACACCGGAGCAGAGCTCCCTCCTGCAACCCAGGGTACGTACAGCCGCACACCCTGCCCCCACGCAGCCAGGGTGCACTCCCACGCCTCTAAACACCGAAGTGACACATTCACACACAAACAAACCCAGAGACTAACGATCTCGATTGGCATGACAACCTGCACGAGGTGTGGCTAACCTGCGAAAAGTGGGGAAGCCCTAAGTGTCAACAAGACAAGGGGCGTCTGCACCGAGGCAGTCTCGATCCCTCGTGTCCTTTGCCATTATTGGCAAGTTCGGATCGTGTAACAGACTATTCGGGCTGCCTCTTTCTTCTTCTCTCGACCTACAGCTTCTCTCCGTTGCCTTTCAATCTCGGCTTCCTGCTAATGAGAGGAAACCGCTTTGATGCTCCCTTATGTTTTGGACATTGGATTAGAAAGGGATTCTCCATTCTCACCTTGGTTGCGTAACAGTTCCTCTGGAGGTTTGCCCTGTACTTCCTGTTTTCCAGTTCCCGCCTCTGAGTCTGTGAGGGGTAAGAGTCTGCCGTGGTTTTGCACATTTCACTGCTGGGCGGAACTGTCATTTGCTCCTCTGAGGTCTGAAGGTTCGCTGAGGGGATCTACATGGTGCTATTTCCCCACCCATTTCCACAGTGTTTCTGGGGTTTGCTCTCTTCAACATACTCAAGTTAGGGTGAGATGGTTAGTGATTTTCAAGTCTGCAAGTATTATATAGGACTGGGTAATGTTTTCAGCTGCTTGTAATGTTTGGTTCAATGCTCTTTTGCAAAAGTCAGGGCATCCCATGCACTACACACACACTGTAGGGGTGTATCTACATAGGGAAACTGAGCAGCATAGCTATAGCAAATAATGTCACTGCTATACTTAGGCCAAAATAACTCCTGCATAAGGATATTATTCTAGAAAAACCATTAGGGATAAGGAATGACTGCCATTTGAGGAGAGAGTAATAAAACCGGGACTTTTCAACTTGGAAAAGAAATGACTAAGCTCTGCTCTGCCTCTCTTCAGTACTCTGGACCGCCCACATCTACCATCTCCACCCTAGGAACCCTGAATGATGCAAGCTTCACAGGGATGCTTCCCAATCCCTTGTTGTGGGGAGGGGGAAAGATGTGAGGGAGAGCAGACAGATGTTTGGAGAGATATAGCTCAGTTTATTCCCCAATTTGCCCTCCACAGAAGCTGGGCCAAGACTTCCCATGAACCCTACAGCTGCATACAGAGAAGTAAGAAGGATCATGTATGCAGCTACGCCTGAAGAATACAGGAAGATAAGAGAGACATCTCTGAGGATGTGGGGTGGGATGGGGGTGTGGACAGGGACAAGAACAAATCCTCTTCCCTCTAAAACTACAAAATATGCCAGAAACTATTGGAAGTGGGGTAGAGAGATCATCTCTGCAGGTTGGCTTACCCCTCCACTCTACCCCACCCCAGTTCCTACACAGGGATGGAAATGGTTATCTAGCTCTTCTCTTCTGGTTGCAACTGGAGCCATTTGCTTTCATTCTCCTTCCCATAGTAGAGATACATTCACAATGGAGGTGGTAGGGCAGTTTCCATTCCTTCAGTGCCCTCATACATAGAAACATCCTCCTGCAATAGCTTCTCAATTCAGAGCAAGCTATCAGTTATCCTGCATATCAACTTTTGCCTACCCCAGATCCAGATTAGGTACCAGCTGGTGCAGAGAGAAAAACAGACAACAACTTTCCCTCTCTAGGAGGATTTTTATCTCCCCTCAGGCCCTCTGTTTCTTTTTTATTGGCTTCCCCTGCTGAGGTGGCACAGCTGTCACTTCTTGCTCCCAGGAACTGAATGAGCCACAGCTGCCAGCTCTTCCTGCCAAGTAGGGCAGCTCAAGTATTCTTTAAGTGCCTGTTTCTCCAGGGAAGAGACTGGCTGACACAGAGATGGGGCCCTGTTGTGAGTTCTATAGATGATGTTTGGTACAGGTGCCATTACTTGATGCACAACCACACCCAAGCCCTATAGCTGTTGCTGCCTCTTCCTTCCTAGCTTTGTAAGTAGAGGCTTACAAAACCAGGCATCAAGGAAGACAAGATAAGATCAGAGATAAGATCATTTAGGGAGGACAAATCATGGACAAGATATCTTCATTAAAAGAACCACAACCTTGGCTTTTTTGGCTGCAAAAATGAAATTGATTCCTTAGTCAGTCTTCTCCAAGGGGCTGGGATTTTTGATCTGGACAGACCCGAATGAATACGTAGAAATTGCGGTGGGAGCAGAAATCCTTGGCATATATTAGAGAGCACCAACAGAAAACCCCTTTGAACTGAGTGGACACATATGAATAAAATGTCAAAAGAATCTCAATTACACAAAACCTGACATTTCAGATCTGGACATTGCCTTGTGTATGAGATTCTAGCAGCTTTTCTCAGGCAGGCGGAATACCTCCTGGAGCTCCAAGGTGCACTGGATTTTATAAGGCTTGAATATTGTGTACTCCTCTCTGCATCCCCATTGGGCTATTTAATTATTTATACGAAGT